TTATTTATTTATCTTTAGAAGGGAAGGGAAGGGAAGGGAAGGAGAGAAGGAGAGAAATTTCAATGTATGGTTGCTTCTGGTGCATCCCCTGCTGGGAACTGGCCCCTGCTGGGAACTGGCCTGCAATCCAGGCATGTGCCCTGACAAGGAATCGAACCGCGATCTTTTGGTTCACAGGCCAGTGCTCAGTCCACTGAGCTACACCAGCCCGGGCAGAATAGTACTTTCTAGTATATCTTTTTTCCCTTTTATTTTTAATCCGTCTGTGTTTTTATATGTAAAATACCTAGGAAGGTTTTTTTTTTTTTTAATTCTATTTGGGATTCTCTGCGTGTCTTGGTCCTGTATTCGATTGTTTTTCATTAGCTTTAGAACACGTCAACTGTTGTCTTAAGTATTTCTTCAAACACTTTCTGTTAAATTTTTTCCTGTATTTTTCAATAACTTGTTTATGTAACAGATTTTAAAGAATATGTAATTATATTTGTCATATATGTATTTTCTTATATTAGGTACTTATCTAATAATAAAAGCAGTGTGTGTTTATTATAGAAATTTCTGGAAAAAGTTACAAAAAAGTAAAACCTACCCAGAGTGTTCTATCCACAGATAGAAAATTTAACATGCATTCATTTTACACAGTCATAATACAACTTAATACACAAAGTTTTTTTTTATTGTGGCAAAAAAACAATGTAAAATTTACCATTCCAACCGTTTACAATTGTTTTAACATAATTTTTTCCTATTCTACCCATTTTTAAGTTGCATGTTTTTGTGCAACACATCTCTAGAACTCTTTATCTTGCAATGCTGAAACTCTGTAATCATTGTGCAGCAAATCTTCCTTTCTCTCTTCCCCCACCCTGGAAACCAGCATTGTAATTGCTATTCCTAAGAGTTTGGTTGCATTAAATACCTCATGGAAGTGGAATCATGGCAGTATTTGTACTTCCGCAACACAAGTTTGGCTTGTTTCACATAGCATATGTCCTCAAGGTTCATCCATGTTGCAACATATAAAGTAATTTCCTTCTGTAAGGCTGAATAATATTCCAATAAATTATATACCCCTTGTAAAAAATCCATTTCATCTCTTGGTGGACATTAGGTTGCTTCCACTCTTAGCTATTGTGAATAATGGCTGCAAAGAACAGGGCTGTAGCTTTTTCGGCAGGGGTGGGGGGGTATAAACGATAATTTTCTCAGATCGGTGCTCCACAGATCTTGGATACTTGCTTGTGATTTTTTTCCACTTTATTTTCCTTCTTTATGTTTCAATTTGGATAATTTCTGTTGACTTGTCATCAAATTCACTGATTCCTTCCTCTGTTATTTTGTGTTTACTGATGAACCCACAGAAGGCATATTTCGACTCTGTTACCTCATTTATTCCTTTTTTTTCTTTAAGGTTTTTAAAAAATTATTTTTAGAGGGAGGGCAAGGGAGAAAGAAAGAGAGAGGGAGAGAAGCATCAACTTGTGGTTGCGTCTCGCATGCCCCTACCAAAACCCTGCCGCACCCCAGGCCTGTGTCCCAAAGAGTCGCAGGCCAGCTCCACTGAGCCACACCAGCCAGGGCTCGTTTTATTTCTAATGGTCCACTTGAGTCTCAAATTTTCTGTCTGCTGAAATTCCCCATCTTTTCATGCATTTTTTGCCTTTTCTTTTATAATCTTTAACATATTAATCATGCTTATTTTAAGCTCCTCTGATAATTTATAACATCATTGTCATCTCAAACTGGTCTGTCTACTGCATTAACTCTTGACAGTGATTTTTTTCCTCTTTTTTATCTGTCTTGTAAGTTTTTAAAAAATTTTGGATATGTTGTATAGGACTGAAGCAACTTATTCAAACAGTATTTTTGCCTGAAATTAAAATGCCTCTTCTGCTAGGCTGTTAATGTTGGTGATTGAACTAATGTAGTCAGTAGTAGAGCCAAGTTTGAATTTGTTATTGTTATGATTACCTTCTGTTATGGACTGAATGTTGTGCCCCTTAAAATTCAAAGGTTATGGGGGGAAAAACAAGCCTCAGTCTGATTGTATTTGGAGATAGGGCCTTTATGGAGGTAATTAGGATTAATGAAGTCACAAGGGTGGGGGTACGATCCAGTAGGATTAGTGTTGTTATAAAAAGAGACCCGAGAGTGTTCTTATTCTTGCTCTGCTCTCTTCTCCCTCTCCCACTCCCTCCTTCGCTCATTTCCTTTTCCCCCACACAGATGTGAGGGCAAAGTAAGGAGGCTGCAAGCTAGAAAGACAGCTCTCACCAGGAGCCAACTTGGCTGGCACCTTGATCTGGGACTTCTAGCCTCTAGAACTGTGAGAAAATGAGTATTTGTTGTTTAAGCCACATATCTATGGTATGTTGTTACGGAAGACTGAGTATAGACTAATAAACCTTTAGTGCACCATGGGGTCGAAATTCCTCTGTTGTTATTTTATGTTTAGAGTGGGGCTGATTGTGAAAGGGTTTTTTTTTTAGTATTCTTGTTTAACTTTTTGTTTTAGGTCTTTTAAAAAAATTTCTATTTCTCTCCTGAAATACCTCATTTATTCAGCATTTAATATCCATTTTCTATAATTTTTACATATTTATAATTGTTTTAACATCACATTTATAGTTAAAATTACTTGGTCAAAGAAAAATTACTTGGTCAGCTCCTGTGCTTGTCATTTGACTGTTTTCTCTTGATTATGCATCATATTTTGTTGATTTTTTGGTTATATCTTATATTTTATTTTTTTATTGGATTTTCACATTGTATTTAAGGAACAGTGGGGAACAAAATGTACTATTTTTTTGTTTTGTTCCACAAAGAGTGAAAGTCCTTTCCTTTGTTAGGGTAAGATGCTGATAGGTCATACTCTTTCTAGAATTTAGTTAAGCTGATCCTGGGCTGTAGTCTTAGATTCAGTGTATTTGTTATTGGCTCAGTCTTCCAAGATGCTTTTTTAAATTATTTTTTACAGTTATTCAGCTGGGAGGGATTTGTCTTCAGTTTAAGATACTGTTGGTTTACATTTGAATCTTTGAATTCATGTCATAGGGAGAATGCCTGGAATTACCATCTTCTCTTCCATCCACTTCTCTTCTCTTCCACTTTTTTTGAAAACTTATACGGGTGTGTTGCAGAGTGAGTAGTGTAAAAGAATAGCTGGACTAAACAATCTGTAAGGGCTATGGTCTCTAATTCATCCTGCCACGCCACACTGTTGTCTACAGTCAAGCTGATTTTTGCTTGCCTGATAAAATACTTGTTTAATGGGAGGTGTACCTGTATGTAGACTAGGTGCCTGCCTGAAGAGAAGCTGCCAAGGTTCTCTCCTCATTTACGAATTCTCCATGTTCCCCATCTTTTGGAATTGAGTACATCAAGGTTTCTTTTTATCTACCACTCTTCATTAGCCCATAGAAATTGCCTCTCACCGTGGGGGAGAAAGTCTTTCTTGTTTTTTTAATATTTTATTTATTTATCTTTAGAGGGGAAGGGAAGGAGAGAGGGAGAGAAACATCAATGTATGGTTGCTTTTTGTGTGTCCCCTGCTGGGAACTGGCCTGCAGGGAACTGGCCTGCAGGGAACTGGTCTGCAACCCAGGCATGTGCCCTGACTGGGAATCGAACCGCGATTGTCTGGTTCGCAGGCCCGCGCTCAATCCACTGAGCTACACCAGCCAGGGCTGAGAAAGTCTTTCTTGTTCTACGTATCATAACCTTCAGGATTAGAATTTCTCTTCACTAATTTTTAGTTATATTAGACTACATCTGAAAATCCCCAAATCCTTTGCTTACCAACCAGTCTTACATCTTATATCTAAGTATTAACCCATGTGGATTAATACTTACTTATACTATATCAGGGTATTAAAATCAATAACTTGATGACTATAGTCTTAAATTGAGACTCTCTGCTTCTGTTGATTAAATTCTGCATTTTTATCATAATTAAAATTTTCCTACACTTGAAAAGTAGAGAGGTGGGGGAGGGTAGGGGGGATGAATGGTGATGGAAGGAGAAGACTTGTACACAGTACAGTGTACACACAGACGATGTGTTGTGGAATTGTGCACCTGAAACCTGTAATTTTGTTAACCAGTGTCACTTCAATAAGTTCAATTTAAAAAAAGAAGAAAAGGAAGAAAAAAAGTCTGATTCTTGTCAATGGCAATAGAAACTTAAGTGGCATACTTTATTAAAGTTATAAATAGATTTATTTAAGCCTTACTGTGTTCTAACTGGCATGATTTTATAAAAACTCAATATATGGAAATTTAAGATTTTAACATAAATTTAGGAATGAGTCTTCATGGTATAGGGATAGGGCCAGTGCTAATATATAGATATGACTTGAAAAAAAGGCTCCTTCTTTTAGAAAAAGGGCAGATTATAAAAAGGTGCCCCTTCTTGCTCCAGATTCGGTGCCCTGACTTTTCCCCTTGGCTAGGTGCCCTCATTCTATCTCTATAGCTGTACACAGTGCATCTAAATCAAGAAAAAAATTGTTTGCTTTCTTATGTCAGATAAGAGAAACAAGAAATACAAAGCAGCAGATTCATATAGGACTACTGTTAACATTTTTTTCTCTTTATAAAGGTGAGATCAGCTTTTGCTGCTCCTTCTAACTCGCTTCTTATTAAACTATAGATTAACATCTCCAAAAAAGCCTGTTACTGAAGAATTTCTATAAAAATTTATACATATTTATTAGAAAGTCTAGGTGGCTATAAGGGGAATAGTTGGAGACAACAAAACCAAGCTATTTAGAATTTGTGTTCTGGTGCTTTGCATATAACAAGCACGGAAACATGTGGGTTAAATGTTAAAATTTCTGAAATAAATAAAAAACTGTTCAGTTTATGAAAGTGGTTTGTCTGTAACTTCAGGAACAAATCTATATCTATTCTAGGATGCAAGATACACAATTATTAAAGCATTAACAAATATGGGATTAGCAAATATGTGAATATTAACAATATTCAATATTTGTTCTTAGGTATCTTGCAACATCCAGATGGCACAGTTTTGAAACAGCTACAGCCACCTCCAAGGGGTCCTAGAGAGCTAGAATTCTATAATATGGTAAGTGAGGTAAGATTTGTTTTGTTGTACTCAAAGTGTTTTTCAGTTTTCTGGCAGGGCAGACGTAACGTCTAATTACACATATTACTAGGAACACTTTTTAGAACATTCACAATGTTTCACATTCACCACCTCTGTCTAATTACAAAAGATGTTCATTTCTTTGAAAGCAAACCCTGTTACTTTGAAGACATGATGCCCTGGTTCTCCACTGCTCCCGGTCCCTGGCACCCACCAATCTGCTCATACGATATGTGACCTTTTGTGTCTGGCTTCTTTTCAATGTAATATTTTTAAGGTCCATCTACATTGTAGTTTACAATTTGATCATGCCAAAGTGAAGGGTGGTCCACCAAAGTAAAGGGTGAACCTAGGATTTGAATGCAGTTGGTGTAGCTCTAGAACATAGGCTTTTGACTTATTTTTGGTCCTTTTTATGGCTAATATTCTATTATACTTACATACCACACTTTGTTTATCCATTCATCCATTGGTGGTGGACCTTTGGGTTGGTTTTTTTGGCTTTTGTACGTAGAGCTTCTTTGAACATTCATGTACAAGGAGTTGTTTGAGTACCTGTTTCCAGTTTCGAGGGTACATAGCTAAGACTGGAATTGGTGGCTCCTACAATAATTCCTTATTATCTTTTTGAGGGACTGTCAAAGTGTTTCCCAAAGTGGCTGTACCATTTTACATTTCCACCAGTAGTGTATGAGGCTTCTAATTTCTCTGCATCCTCATCAGTACTTCTTACATCTCCCCCCTGCCCCCCCTTAATGGCCATCCGAGTGAATGTGTTTCTCTTAATGATGTTGGATTTTTTTTTATGTATTTAGTGATTGTATGTAAATCTCGGGAGTAATGTCCATTGAGATCCTTTGTTCATTTCTTCATTGGGTTATCTTTTTTATTTAGTTGTAGGAGTTATGTATATATTCTAGATACAAGTCCCTGATCAGATTTTTGATTTGCAAATATTTTTCCCCATTCTTTCTTTGGGTTGTCTTTTCACTTTTTTCATATATTTTGAAAATATTTTTAAATATTAAAGTTCAATGTATCTGTTTTCTTTTGTCACTTGTGCTTTTGGTGTCATATCTAAAGTCATGAAGATTTATGCTTATGTTTTTGTCTAAATTTTATGGCTTTAGCTCTTAAGTTTAGGTACAAGTAAAAAAATACATGCTAAAGTAAAAATACAAGTATTTTTGTAAATGCTTTACCACTATGAACTCATTGAAGTCTCACAGCTATCTGTGAGGTAGGTACTGCTATGGTCCTCATTTTCTACATGTGCACTCTAAGGCATAGTTAGTTTAAATAATTTGATCATGATCATGCCAAAGTAAAGGGTGGTCCCAGGATTTGAATGCAGTTGGTGTAGCTCTAGAATATATGCTTTTGACTGATATGTACTGCCTGTTTTTGAAGAAATTATTTTATATTTACTCTATAAAAGTCTTGTACATAATTTGCTGGATTTATTCTAGGTACCTTATTTTTATTTCAATTGTAAGCAGTATTTTTTGAATTAAGTTTTCAAATGAATGCCAAAATATAAGAATGAAAAAGGTGTTTGTCTAGTGTTCTTACATCTGGTAATCTTGCTGAACTATTTTTAACTCGTGTTTATCTTAGATTCTCTAACAATTTTGATTATTTTCTATATAGACAATTATATCTTTTGTGATTGGAGGTTTTGTTTGTACCTTTTGAATCGATATACTTCTGTCAAGGGCTTCCAGTTCAGGGCTCAATGGAAACTATGATGGGGGGTTTTTTCCTCTCATACGACAAAGTGCTTTTAACATTTGCCCGCTAAAGTATGCTTCTCTCTTTAGGGTTTGGTGGGTACTTCTTCCCAGGTTAAGCAAATTGCCTTTTGTGTGAGTCAAGGTTCAATCAGTAAACAAATGATGTATGCTACTAGTTTAATAAAGGGATTTTTGACAAAGGTGTTGTCAGAGTTTAAGGTCACCTGCAAGAGAGAATGCTGTAACATCCCTGGGCCTGTAACGACAAGGAGAGGGTGTGGTTACTGGAACCCAGGGAAGGTAACTTTATAAGATAGAAACTGATAGGGAACTAGAGAAGTAAATAACCTGACTTCAACTCTTCTACCTTTACTCTTGCACCAGTGAGAGACAATGACAGGTGGGCAAGGGACCCCACTAATGCCCTTGATTCAGGTCAGCTTCTTGGGTAGAACACTGTGGAGGTGGAAAAGAGAAGTTATATAGCATCCTTTCTATTTTATTTCAGAAAACACTTTAAAGTATGACTAAGTATGGAATAAATTCCAGCTACCTTTTTTATATCTATTGAAATGATCATATGTTTCCTCCTTTAATCTATTAATGTCATAAGTGCCATAATAGAAAATCTAATGTTATATCACCTTTCATTTTTTGGAATAAAACCTATTAGGACATGTCTTTATTTTTAGTAATATACATTATAGAATTTTGTTTGCAAGCATTTTATTTCAAAATTTTTAGAGTTATGCTTTATAAATGAGATTGAACTATTTTATGCACATATTTTCCTTGTTTGGTTTTGATAATCAAGTTTCTTTTAACTTCATAAAACGAGTTGAGGAGCATTTCTTGTTCTGTTGTGTGGAAGACTTTGTGTCACACAGGGGTTTGTTCCTTAAAGGCTTGATAGAACAACTATACATTCACCAGAGCCTTTTCCCATCTGTTTCTCTTTATTCCTTTTCTCCTTTCTATCATCCTTCCTTTTCCCTTTAATTCTTTTCTTTGTTCCTGGCAAGGATTGTATTTTTTAACCAGTGATTTGTTTTCCTAAATGTCCTGATTTTGTTGTTGGTGGTGGTGTTCATGTGATAGTAAAAACGTAATTAATTAGATTTTTATAAAAAATTGCCGAGTTAGTAAACTTTTTTATAGTATTCTTAAAAATCTCTGCTGTGTCTACTTGCGACTCTCTTTTTATCCCTCATATTGTTGTTGCTATTTCTCTCTTTTTCTCAGTCAGTGTGGCCACCAGCTTTCTTGCAGTGTGGTGGGAAGAGAGAAGGATGCCAAGGTTGTTTTTTTTTTTTAATCCTCATCCGAGGAGATACACACACATATGTATGTGTATATGTGTGTATGTAAATTAATTGATTTTAGCGAGAGAAGAAGGAGGAGGAGAGAGAAAGAGAAACATTGACTGATTGCCTCTGGTACATGACCTGACTGGGGATCGAACCCATAACTTTTTGATATATTGAGATGATGCTCCAACCAACCGAGCCACCTGACCAGGACAGATGCTAAGGTTTTTAACTGTTCAGAGAGAGACCCTTTGATTCAAGTCTTAAGTGTGGACCTCTGTGAAACCCACACATCACTGTTCAGCGTAACACTTTGGTTGCCTCTTTATTTTAAATGCTTATGAATTTCTTTTTTTCCCTTGGGAGTTCAGCTATGCATTTTAAAAATATTTGTTATATTTTTCCCTACATTTCTAAGTAGAAAGGCTTTTAGGTTACCTTGTCTGGCATGTTGTAGTAAGTGCCAGTTCTAGTACTGTAAAAAAATATTTAAAAAGAACAAGTGTACCTCTCTGTCGTCTAATTCTTTTATATTTTTCACTTATAAATGTATCATGGACTTCTTTAGGTCAGTACATAGAGATGTACTTGGGTCCTCCCATCTTGTTACATCACGAGCATTGCCCTCACTGTCATTGTGCCAGGATCAGAGGGATAATAAAGTACGCCCTGCTCTTAATTACTTTGGCCTGGAAGTGACTACTATCACTTCTGCTCACTTTTCAACAGGGGTGGCTGGGAAATACAGTGCATCACATGGGTTATTTGGGGAGTCACCCGAGTTTATTCTTTAGAGCTCTGTTGTATGTAACTACTTGACATGAAAATGGTTTCACATATATAAGCATTCTAATACTAAGATTTCATAAGCATTTTATAGCAGTGAACTTTATGGCTTTAGATAATTAGGTAGACCATATTTGAAAGATTTAATTAAATAAAATACCTTATTAGTTGTTTTTAAAACAAAATATTTTCTTTTCACTCCTCATCAAGGAAGAAAATAAAGAATCTAGTTCCAGGATATCTAGACATTTCTATTATTTCCTAGAATTATTACTGCTTATAAATCAAGGAATTAGATGAGCAGTGATTAGACGTACAATACATTGAGCTAATGGATATATTTTTTAAAAGTAAAATCACAATTCCCTTACAGATATAAAATAAGTGTGTGTTAAAGATTTTGTTAAACCTATTATTTAATGAGGGAACCAGGTAGATGTTAAAACTGGTTCAGAAGAAAAATCAAAGAAGCAAAATTTTACATGGACTAAAGGGAAATTGAAATGAAGTCATGTATGGACACAAAACTCCTCTCTTTCATAGGGGGTGGATGGAAGTCCATAGAACTTTCTCTGTGCAGAAATTATTTGCAGGTATATGGACAAGAATTATTTTGCATTTGCTAATAGTTATTTACAGCTTGCTTTGTAAAATAGTTCAAGGACAATGAAAGGCTAGAATTAGATCATCAAGAATGTGCTCTAAACAATATGTAGTTTTCATTGGAAACAGTACCCTTTTTTGCTTATTCAGATTTACTTCCAGTTGAAACTCATGCCAGATAAATTATGATCATCAGTATTATTTCAGTTGCAAAATGTGTAGGGTAATTATAGAGCATTATAAGAAACTAACTTCATTTAAGTTATATTTTCCTATTTCAGGTTTATGCTGCTGATTGTACTGATGGTGTTCTTTTAGAGCTACGAAAATATTTGCCAAAATATTATGGCATCTGGTCACCTCCCACTGCACCAAATGGTAATTTCTTTTTCTAAATATTTATATTTTAGTTTTAATTCAGGACAGTGGCTTTTTAAAAGACTTTATATAAAAGTAAGACTAGTATTATACAAACAGAATACATGTATGTTTTCCTTCCTAATCATTCTCTACTTTTGCTCTTCAAAACCAGTTTATTAAATGGCATATACAAATTAATGATGAGTCTGTTTTAATTCAGTGAAAATAATGTGTACCAAATACTGTATTTATTTACAGATGTCCTTTTTTTCTTCTATGTAGGCAATTTCCTTTTTTGCATTTTGAAAAGGAAAAAATCAGGAAGTATATTTGCTTTGCATAACTTCCCCCCTGTCTCCTATCCCACTCTCTCATCCTCCTCCCACTGGGCTTTAAATTGCAGTATTTTTAAAAATACCAGTAAGTTTCATAGAGGGCAAACTGTGATCTATGTAAGAGCATAGCATTTCTCTCTCTTAATATGAGTTAATACTTGAAGCTGTATTTGCCACTTCAGGGCCTTTGACTGAGCAGACAGAATGTAATTAAACAAACAGCTCAACTATGTAGCTATTGAAAGTTCATGAATAAGGTAAGAGTTTCAAACTTGACTGAGTTGAAGAATAACCCATAGGCCTGTTAAAATGCAAATTAATAGGCTTAATGCCCAGACATTTTGATTATGCAGATTTATGTTGGAGTTCAGTGATATGGTGGTTAAATAAAAACTATAAGCTTTTTAAATGTAGATAGTACTTGAACTATATTTTGAGAATTGGAAAGAAGGGAGCTCCAGTTTGAACTTGTTCTTTTCCTCAGTTCTTTGTCTTCCTTGGATTCATTGACTGTGTATCTAGTTTCATTAATAGGGAATCATTGTATCTTCCCATGAGTATCCTCAGATAATACTAAATCCATGGTTCCTCTGGGTATATAGGATTCTCCTGTACTACTGCCATATGGAGGGGGAAAAAAGTAAGCTGAGGCTTCCTCTCCTTCCTTCCCTTGTCCTCCCTTCTTTCTTCTCTTAGCCCCAGACACCTGTTTCTGATTCAGATCAGCATGTTGCTTACATTATTATACATATTATGATCATAGGAATTTCTCTTTGAATATAAGATAGCTACATTTCAATTTACTTTGCTACTGATTGATGTTTAATTTAGAGCAAATCATTATCCCTCAAGAAAGTGACATTGAAAGATTAACAAAGGTTGCTAAGAGTGGTATTAGATTAAAATATCTAGATAATTAAATGCCCAGTTTTAAAAGATTGTTTAGAAGAGGTAGAATAACTGAGCAAACATCATCTTTATTGAGTATACAGAAAACTTGGATAAGAGAAAAAGTAGTTTTACTAAAAATCATTTTATAATTTAGGATCAGTAGCACATGATTTAAAAATCGATAGCTTGTTAGCAGTCAACAGCCTTATATGTCTTCCATACTAAATAATGTTGAGGAACACCTGTGCTAATACAAAAAGAACAGTACCATTGAAGTCAAAAGACTTGGCTTATTTCTTGCTTACTTCTAACATGGCTAATTTATTAACCTTTTTTGAGATCTATTTTTTCATCAATACATTTCCACAGAGAGTTGTGAAAATGCAGATTATATTACGTGAGAATGCTTTGCAAACTCTAATATTCTTATTTGAATATGATTGGAAATATTGGTGCTACTGAGATGAGGAAAGTGAGAGGAGAAAATGGAAATAGAAGGGGGAAAAGGGGCAGGGAACTACAAGTATACATGTACAGAGTGGTTCAGTATAAGAACAGTTGTCTCGGGATTTCCTCTTTCTTTCCTCCTTTGTTGGCTCTGGTCAAGAAGTTGGACCAAACTGTTGCTCCCTGCAGGTTGTTTACCTTTCATTTTGTTGGGGAGAGTTCATGGACTCATCTTTCTGTTCCTGTCTTTTTAACTATAAAAGAAACAAAGAGAAGACCAGAAACCTTTTTACGTGTTTAGCCCACAGGATTGTGAAAATAGAGTTGACCCTTGAACAGTGTGAGTGTTGGCGTGCCGACCCCAACCTCCACCTTCCCACACAGCCCAAAATCTGTGTACAACAAACATTTTGACTCCCCAAAACTTAGCTAATACTCTTCTGTTGACTAGAAGCCTTACTGATAATGTAACACATATTTTGTATGTTACATGTATTATGTACTGTATTCTTACAATAAAGTAAACTAGGGGAAAGAAGATGTTATTAAGAAAGTCATAAGGAAGAGAAAGTATATTTACAGTACTTATTGAAAAAACTCTTAAGTGGATTGACCTGCATACTTCAAACCCCTGTTGTTCAAGGGTCAACAGTATATTCTTCAATTTTAGTAGGATACTGTTGTTTGTATTACTGTACTTTACATAGCATTAAGTTAGTGATATAATTTGTTTACTGATCCTTTGTTTTTATTTGGGCATCTTATGTGGTTAGGTTGGAGTTCTATAAAGCTTGATATGGTTCTTATAATCTAAAGTAGTAAAATGCAGAAAGTACCTACCAATTTTTTGAGTAAATTATGGTAACTTGAGAGAAATATAAGAATGTGATGACCTAATACTTTTGTCTTTTAAGTTTTTTGACAGTTTTCCTGAGAGAAAATTTACGTACCATAAAACTCATCCCTTAAAAAAAAAAAGATTTTATTCGCTAGAGGGGAAGGGAGCTGTAAAGAGGGAGGGGAACGTCCATAGGTTGCCTCTCAAATGCCCCCAATCAGGGACCTTGCCTAAGCTGGGCGTGTGCCCTGATCAGAAATTGAACTGGCAACCTTTCAGTTTGCAGGACAGTGTCCAACCCACTAAAGCCACGTCAGTTAGGGCAAGACTCACCCATTTAAAGTGTACGATTAAGTAGATTTTAGTATATTTATAGAATTGTATAATTATCACTATTAGCTAATTGTAGAACACGGCCAATGGAAGTCTTTTTTAAGATAGAAACATTTATTGGAGATTATCTTTGAAGATTTTGGGCTAGTTAAATGTATTAAATCTTATTTGTACGTGTGTATAAACACACAAATTCCTAGTGCATGTACCATCAGCAACCTTGTGTTGACAGTTATTTGGAAGGCTCGACAAAGTTTGTTTAAGTGGGTTTAAGCAAATTGAGAATTCTCAAATTCAGTGTCCAGCCTGATTGATCACAGGTTTCTGGGTCCAGTCACTTGTCAGGTTTTAGGAGGCATGAGCTGGCCTACATGTCTGTTCCCTCTCTCCCTCTTTACCCCAAATTTAGAGGCTCAGTGTCTCTATTTTTTTTAAAGATATTTATTTATTTATTTGTTTGTTTGTTTGTTTGTTTGTTTTTAGGCAGAAGGGAAGGGAGGTAGAAAGAGAGGGAGAGAAACATCAATGTGTGGTTGCTTCTTGCATGCTGCTGAGTGGGGACCTGGCCTGCAACCCAGGCTTATGCCCTGACTGGGAACTGAACTAGTGACGCCTTGGTTTGCAGGCCAGCATTTAATCCACTGAAACACATCAGCCAGGGCTGTACTTATAATTCTTCTTTCATTTTCTGCTGCGCTCAGAATTGCCTGAAGATTGCTGTGGAGAGAGTACAAGCAAGGCTTCCTGTTTTTCCATTTGGCTTCGTAGTTGGGCAGGTGTTTCCCACCTGGCCTTTTCTTCTTTTTGGGAGCTGTAGAAATAAAGATGATAGTCAGTGCCTGTATACTTAACGTTCTAGTTATGGTGGGAAGAGCTTGATGAAACTTGGAACTCATATTCTCATAATTTATACAATCAATGATGCTCATTAATAGGAGGGCTAAATAAGCTTTCCTTCAACTCCCTAGGTACCATCTTCCTTGTCTTTCTTTAAAGCAGGGGCCACATCAGCCCTGCGGTTGCCTTCAACGGGCCGAATGTAACCTTAGGACTGTGTAAATGTAACTGGTCCTTAACAGTTAGGCAAGAGCTTGGTGCTGCTGCCGGGTAGAAACAAGGTTTCGGGTCTGATATAACAAGGTGGAGGCCGGATTGGGCCCGCAGGCCTTGTGTTTGCCACCTGTGCTTTAAAGGAACTAGCTAGTTCATCTTTACTATATAGTTGTTTATAGTTCTTTTAATTTTTTCACAATGTTTCAGATGTTTACATTTTTTTCTCCTTTGATACTGGAAAATTGTCTGCTTGTCAGAGTATGAGGACTATATTCCAACAGTAGAAAATTTGCTATAGGAATTTTTTATGCTTAATATATTATAAAACAATATAATTACTGTACAGGGTGGGACAAAAGTAGGTATACAATTGTGAGTACACGGGACACAGATATTCTTGTATTATTCTTTATTCTTGTATTGTTATTTATTAATTATTGTATTATTTTCATATGAACAACTGTAAACTTACTTTTGCCCAACCCTGTATTTATTTTTAAGATAATTATATTTAATTATATATCTTAAATGGAAACTATATTTAAAATACACAAGCTTTCTTCATTCTTAGTAATGTATAATCTTACACTGTCTTCAACAGCATGGAGTATATAAATCTATGAGCATGGTAACCATGTCATTGGTAAAGCCACTGAGAAATCTTACTTAATAGTCTGCTTAAACGGCATGAAGTGGTATATTTTGCCTTATCTGGTAGTTATTTTCATGGTCTTTACCTAAAAAAATTAAGGAACTATAGCAATTCTATATACACTTTCCACAAATGAATAGATAAATAATAGATTTATCTCTTATAGCCATAGCCTCTTAAACTTAACTATATTTCTAGTTAGGGTAACCTCTTGTAATGAACTTCATGTGTTTATGAAAAGTATATGTCCTTTTATTTCTTCTATAAGTATCAAGACTAAGCCTTTAAAATATATATTTTATTGATTATGCTATTACAGTTGTCCTATTTTTTTTCTCCACTTTATTCCCCTCTGCCCTGCACCTTCCTTCCTACTGTCATTCCTCCCTAACCCCTTAGTTCATGTCCTTGGGTCATACGTATAGTTCTTTGGCTTCTCCATTTCCTATACTATTCTTAACATCCCCCT